TACAGAAAGGACTTTAATGTTGAGTGAAATTGGAAGCCATGGAGACTGTTCCTCCTGTGCAGATCTCAGGCTTGTGTTAGTAATCTCTAGAGATGGAAAAGTAATAGAACATGCCCCACCCACAGGCTACAAGCTAAGCATGGCCAGTGGAGGCTCCTCATAGCCTCCTGTTTGTGGTTTTCTGCCCTGTGGCCATTGGTAGTGTATTGGTTGGCTATCAATGTAAGTGTACTTCTCTACCTTGTTTAGTCTTGTGTTTTCCTTATTTCAGTGGTTTCCTTGCTCTTCTCCCAGTGTTGCCGGGGATTTAGCTCTCAGCAGTAGGCTGCTCACTAAGAAAATACCCAAATAAAATGAAAGTGATAGCCATATCAACCAATACACAAATCACCCCTCAGAAAATACAAGAAACAAGAATTGGGGATGTGGCTCAGTGGTCAAAGACTTGCCTCACATGTATATTATATATCCCTAAGGTCTGTCCCCAGTAGAACAAAATAAAAACATACAAAAAAATCCACTCAATGAAACAATGTAAAACCTCCCAATCACAGTTGTGCTCCAATAAACACTGGAAAGTCTCATCTTGTCTCCAGGATCTTATCAATGAACTATGACCTGCAGACATTTGTAAATGTCAACCAATCAGGAGTTGGCATAACTGAAGTCCTTCATGTGCATAAAACTAAACAGTCGGGGCCAAGAACACTTGTACTATCACTTACGTAGGTGGGCCAGAGTGAGGAACTGGGTGGAAGCTTTGTCTTTGCCACCCTTGTCTTTGCCCTTCCTGAGTGCCTCATCCTTTTGTACCAAAGGCTACCTCCTCATGACTTGAACACTCTCCTTTTTTCCTTCATAATTTTATTTATTTATTCTTAGCACATGGCCTTATTATTGCCCACAGTGGTCTTGAACTCATGAATCCTTCAGCTCAGCCTCTGAAATGCTAGAATTATAGAATGTCATTGTTACTTTTCTATTCCCATGAAGACACCATGACCAAAACAATTTTAGAAGAAAGCATTTAATTAAAGACTTGCTTATGGTTTGAGAGGGTGAGTCTGTGATTTTCATGGCTGGGAATGTGGCAGCAGGCCAGCAAGCATGGTTCTGGAATAGTAGCTAAGAGCTTGCACATTGAGAAAACAACCATGAGGCAGAGAGAGAGAGAGGGGGGGGGAGCTAACAGGAAATGGAATGGGCTTTTAAAACCTTAAGCCCCGGCCGCAGTGACCTATTCCTCATGATCTTTCCCAAACAGCTCTGCCATCTGGGGACCAAGCATTCAATATATGGACCTGTGGGGACCACCCTCATTCAAAACACCACACAGACCACTGACTACACCCATAGCTCCCCCTCCTTCTTTGGTTGTTGTCTTAATAAAGCTTTCCTTTTTACTTGAATTATTTTATAGTGAATGCTATTGACACCTGTCACATAGGATAAATTTCCTTATCATTTGTAAATGAGGTACCATGGGCACTCAAATCTACATGTGTCTTATAAAGTTCACAAAACCTTTATCAAGTAACGTGAAGGAAAATGTGATGTCCTTTTATATTTTCTACAGCACAAGAAATCAAAATGGTAGGCCCTAAAAAGATATGTGATAATGTACCATGGATTCTAGTTGGTCTTAATAATAAAAATCCAGACACAAATATTGGGCTGAAGATCAGAGAAGCAAAGAGTTCTCACTGAACCTCTGACTGCACTGTTCCTCAGACTTCTGTGTCTCTACCAAACCTCAGACCCACCCAGCTCCTGTCTCGTCCTGCCTTAGATTTCTCTCTAGTGCTGGGATTAAAGATGTGGGATCCCAAGTGCTGAGGTCACCTTCATGTGAGCTCCCTTTCTCTGTAAGACTGAATCAACTTCATGCAGTTCAGTGTGGCCTTGGACTAACAGAGATCCATCTGCTTCTGTCTCCTGAGTGCTGGATTAAGGGTGTGTGCCACCATTACCTGGCCTCTATGGCTGACTGACTTTGCACCCTGACCTTCAGCCAAGCTTTATTTGTTAGATCATAAGCAAAATATCACTACAGGATAACAAGAAACATGAGAAATCTTTAGCTGAAGTAGGTCAATTCCTAAACTGCATCAGTAAGATTCCCCATTTCAAAAAATACAGATTCTTTTAAACAGACAGGTAGGATGCTATTATAGATCAGCAGACAGGAAGAGTAGCAGGTACAAGCCCAGTCCTACTGGGTTGCATCTTGGAAAGAACTTTCCCTGGGAGAATTGTTCCTTGGAGATGCTCACAACAACCCTCTTCTGGAAATCAGCAGAAAGACTAATTATCAAAAATGTCTCTCCCCAGAGATGAGCACCTTCATTCCCGGACCTCACTTGACACCTCAGCCTTTATAATGTGGAGTATGTTTGTAGTTTGAGAGAGAAAAAAAATAATCCTTGACTCCTTATTCATTAAGCTATTTTAGAAGATGGAACAATGGTTCCCATGAGAGTACCTTTAATTTCTTCTTTGTTTTGTGTTCATTTGGTGCCAGGACTAGAGAGGGAGTACACAGCCAAGGAATACTGCCAAGAGGAAGATGATGGCTTCAAGCTGGGGAATGAAATTCCTACTTTCTGTGTTTGTTTTTTACTTATCGACCTTCCAAGACAGCATGGCTAACGAAGCAATTTCAATCTCTCCAAACTCCAGGGTGGATGGAGTAAGGTGACACATAAGAAGTAACAAGCTTAACTTAAAAAGAGAAAGAGAAAGACAAAAGATGTGCTCATTGAAACCCTTCGCTAGCATGCTTGGAGACCTGAGTTTTATCCCCAGTATCACAATAATAAATAAACAATAGAAAACTTTCAAACGGAGGAATTAGGGTTATCCTGTGCTTTTCAGCTTATTCCAATTTCACCCTTGCTGAGTGGGAAGACTTTTAAGTTCTGAACCTTAATTAGGAAAATAAAGTTAATTTGATATTAGTTTTCATTAAAAAGCAAGTACTAGACCGTTATGTGAATTTCTGGGACAATATGAACGAATTCATGCTCACGCATGTATTCATCCCCCACTAGGGCAACAACGACATATCAAAGTGGCAATTCCGTGGAAGCCCAACATGGAAAACCAGTGGCTTTATTTTGCATACTTACAGACTGAGGGGGAGGGGTGGTATAACAGGATGGATGACTCCCCAAACAGCTACATCATTAAAGTCACACTGGAGCATGGATGACAACTTCCCGATTACTATAGAGATTGAGTCCCCTGCTCCCTGTACAGGGGATGCTAGAGGGGATACACCACATGCTCGAGCATCTTCCAGACCACAAGACCATGTGCAGCTTGGGCAGAGTTACTTATAACTGAGAAGAGTGGTTAAAATCTCAGGTAAGAAGTGTATGTCCCCACCCCACCCCCTTTTCTCACGAGGGATCATCAAGAGGCTGGATCTTGGGGGTGCGAGTAGTCACAGCTGCCCTGATGAAGGAGGCAATGGCTGTTAGAAAGAGATGACAGCATGCGATGCAGACATAGCTAGTGTTTCTCTCTACTGTATTGTTTCTCTCTACTGTATTGTTTCTCTCTACTGTATTGTATTCTCTACTATCTCCAAATTTCCCTACTGATATCTACCAGAAGGTAGCTCTACAAAATACCACACTATAGTCCTCAGGTTCTGTCTCCAGAATCCACAGCTCCCACAGAGACAAGAAGAAGCTTTGTAAATTATCTAATTCTTCCCAGAAGATAAAAAGATCTACTAGCAGTAATTAGTGGCCATGTCATTAAAAAATAAACTTCAATAAAAAAATAAAAATCAATATTAAAGAAGGTTCACAAGTCACGGCATCATCAAGAAACTTTTCCTCACAGACCAGAACTAAAACCTCAGAATATTTTATGAGATTTCTTCTGCTCATACTACGGGGGGGAGACCACAGGCTGGGGTTGGTAAACAGGAGGAAGAAGCAAGCAGCAAGCATGGACACTCTGTTATTTACGGTCACCTTCTCATACTCTCTGGATCTGGGGACAAAGCCTCACTGTGAAGCTCAGGCTTGATCCTCCCACATCAGCCTCCCAGGCGCTGAGATTATTGGCATGAGCCACCATTTCTGGCTCTATAACCAGCTCTAGACCTCAGCCTCTGTTCACATTCCCTGTCTTTTGAGGTACGTTTGGGATGCAGTTATGTAGCCATGTGATCAGAATTCAATGTCCTCAAACACTTAGTTCCTGGGCTCCGCACAAGAGATGCAACCAGACCCCCCCCCCCCAGCTTTCTCATGAGAGATACACATGCAGGAATTCTTGCCTTTCTCAGTTTTAGGTGCACGCTTCTCTGAACCATGCCACACATGCACCCCATACCTGAGAAAGTGAATACTCTGGCTTGACGATGCTAGTCCGGGGCAGTGCTGGCATTCATGAGTTATAAACATGCCTTTTGTGTTCCACACTATTAAGTCCTGCTAAGTGGGGGCCTGGGCAAGGGCAGAGACTGCTGCTTCTTCTTGTTGTTAATGTTTAGTGCACAAATGAGTTTCGAAAACACACAGCATTCTAGTGCCCATGGAAACCCCTGACCCATTGGGACTCGTATTTTACCCTTTGGTAAAGCTTCTGATGGAATGTCTATGGCCAGCACAGAAATAGAGGTGTGAGGTATAGTTCAGTGGCAAATGCTTGCCTATGCATGTTCAATCTCCACCAAAAATAAAATTTCTGAGAGGTCTTAAAATAAGCCCTAATTAGAGCAGGCTAGCAAATTACTAAGCGGCTATTTGGATTTTTGTTATTGTTGTTGTTGTTTTTTAAAAGGAGGTTTGCAAACTACATCTAATGCCATGTTCTAAAGAAAAGTATAGAAATAGACAAGCTGGGTCCTTGAGTGGCCCAGGGGAGGAAGCCTTGCATCATGTGTTGTTTTTAAATTATAGGGCAATTGGGGCAGACACACATCACAGCTGCTACTCCGTCTGCACTCCACCCCAAAGACAGAAGTGGATTCTCCTACTTACATCAAAGGGAGCTGAACTTGACCCAGCGTTCTGATTACATGGTTCCCTGAAGCAGTCACTAAAAGGAAGTAGAAGGCCCATGGCAATGATCCGTGAGCAAAATTTTTCTGCTTCTTCCGGAGGCCCGTTCTCCTGCTGGCTGAACAGTTTCTCCAACAGAGTCCGCCCTGCATAGGAAACACAGTCATTAGACAGGGGTTGGCAGATCACCTGGCTCAGAATTCTCCAGAGAGAGAGTACGGTAAACATCACCAGTGAGCAACAGTCTCCAAGGCTACTTGTGTGAAGAAAGTATCCGAATGAACAAAAAGTGCTGGATGTGGTCGGACACCACATAGGAAAGGGTGTAGGGGTGTGCTCTCCCAGGTTCCCAAATGCCTCCAGCCTCAAAAGACAATAGAGTGTGCTACTAATTATACATCTGTACCTGAAAGGAACCTCTACCCTTTTGGGATTTAGTTAAGCAATTCTCCTTTCTTCTTGTTTACTTCCAGGGAATTCTCTGAAGTAGTGAGTAACACAAACTGCCACCATTTGGTCCTAGAAATATCAGAGACTGACATTCACCATCTCTTACCCAGTACTAGGGAAAGTCAGAGAGTGAGGCACAAGCAAAGGTATCAATCAGTTTATTTTTTAAAAAGGCAAAAAAGTTGGCCAGTAAGTAAAAGTCAAAGTGAAGAGGAAAAAGTTACAAGTGTTTTCAGTTGCTCCATAGAAACAGCTACGTGTGGGGTCTGGAAAGATGGCTCAGCGGTTTAAAGAGCTTGCTGCTTTTACAGAGGACCCTGGTTCTGTTCCCAGAATCCACATGGTGGCTCCCAATCAACCACCCACAGCTCCAGTTTCAGGGAATCCTCTTTTGGTCTCTGCAGGCACTGCACACATGACGTACACACAAACATGCAGGCAAAACACCCGTACACATGAGTAAAATAATAAAATTAAATTAAAAGTCTAAAGAGTTTTTTAACAAAATCCAGTTCTATAGAAGGTCTACAGTTTAGATGTTTTGATATTTCTCCAGAGAAGGGAAGTACCATCAAAGAGGATGCAGCAGAAAGGGAGGATCCAGAGGTATCAAGACAGGCAAATGGCAAAACATACAGAGTACATGTCTGTGGGCTGCTCATAAAAAAGCTAGACATCTTATAGCCCCTCCCTGCAAGCTCAGGGAATATCAAAATAGAGGAGCAGGACTGCAAGAGTCAGAGGTCTAGAGGACTGGCGTGAATCAGTGTCACCTAGGCATGACAGTAAGGGAGGGCTGTACTCAAGAACTCATGGAAGCTATGGTTGCCTGAATAACATCAAGCGACTCAATGCTCCAGCAAGGATAGCAGAGAGGCACACAAGACCCCACCCATCTCCTAAGGGCTGCTGTCCATTGATGCCTGCTAAGGGGGGGCATGCCCAATTTTCTTTAGAGATGTAGTGCCTGAAAGATTGACCATGCTCCATATGCATATGAAGTAATCAAAATATATGTGTGCATGTATGAAATTCACAAAAAATCTAAAACATTGTGATTATTAAAAGACTGACAATTGAGGGAACCAGTGGCAGAGAAAGACTGGGAACCCCAACGACCATGGGTTGTATGTAACCAAATAGCATAAACAGCAAAAGCTCTACCATCTCCAGATGCTAGAGAAGGTGGGTTCTGTGTAAATGATCTATAAAGGATGGATTGTTTCATGGGTCAGGGCCTTGAGACCCAGAATCTCTCTAGGTCTCTTGCCCACTCATTCTTCTGAGTGCATTCCCCTTCTCTTCCTTAATAAACCACATCTAATTCTATTGTTCTCTGTGTTTCCCTGGCCCTGCTCTTTCTTTCGGAACACAAATTCCTGAAAATCTCCATGTGTGTCCTCTGAACTCTGACAGATGCCTATAACACTGTAAAATAGCAGCAACAGACCCTACAAGACTAGGTCCTCCTGGTCCATGCCTCAACCTTCCCATGTGCCTTAGAATCATCTTAGAAGAGTCAAGTGATGGTCACCACTACTCCACCGGTCACTATTTGATTCTAAAGATAGACAGGCATGAGAGTCAACGGTCCAGTCCCTGATCTTTTTCAGCTAATACCTAGAGTACTGTTCTGGTGAGCTGTCCCACCCTAATCTTATGTATTATTGAGAACAGGCTGCAGATCGACCAGGAGTTCCTCTTCAGGTGGGCTAGAAATTGGTTGGACTGAAGATAGCTGCTTAAGTGCCAGACCACCTCAAACTTCATCATACTCCCATGTGTGTTAAATGACACACCCTCTAGTGCCACAACAGCTGGCAGCTGCCATGGCAGTGATTAGAAATATTACAAAAGGAGAGAAAAGAATTGTCACTCAGATTCCCGAGAACCCTCTTACAAGACCTATAAAAGACACGAATATCCCTCTCTTTATTCGCCTATGCCTCCCCCTCACTTCTTTTATGACTTAAATAAAACCTCTTCCTCCCAAGAGTTGAGTTTCCACTTTGCAACTTCCCCATTTCAAATTGTGACCAAAAGTAATAGTTTCCCTAGCTGACCAATGGGTACTTGATCTTGTTATAGGTTCCACAATTCTGGGAAATAAAAAGGATCCTGTTTCAGGTCAAAATATAATAAAAGCTACTGACACACCAAGCCTTAGGAATCCAAAAACTCGTGTAAGATTTGTCTACATCTGCAAACTATAGCAGAAGGAACAGAAAAACCTTCCAGAAACCCTTCAAGTCACAACTGTCCTCAGTTCTTGAGTTTGCTGTCCCTCTCAAGAATTTATCTTTCAACTTTAAACCAAAAACAAGCATTCTGATAACCTTCTGTGAGCCCCTTCCCACTATTGTAGACCCCTCTATAGACTCTTTCATGTAACTGACTGTTTTACTTAAATGATTGTGAAATCTTTTCTTTTTAATATCTATTCCTTTGCTGAAGTCATACATTTCATGAGCGCAACACATAGCCTGGAAACCTGCTAACTTGAAGCAGGAGATAAATACTTGGAGAATGTCTATAAGATTATTGTGTTATTCAATAATTTATATTTATTCATATTCTAGTCAGAATATAAGAAGGAATTGAACACACACACTTTTTTTACCCATATGCTTTACTGTAATCCTTTTAAGACACCACCTCTCTATCACTTAGCATTCTAAATGTGAAGGAGAGGTCTCAAATTAATAGTACAGATGCTAACTGCTACATGGTCTTTCTTTAGAACCCATACTACCTTGTGACCTCTGCAGTACTTGTACTCATTCATTTTCATTCCTTTCTGAAGTTCTGTGGTTAAACAGCATATATTAGGTCATTGATTAGCACAGAGTACACATATTGATTGGAAGAAGATTAATATTTCTGAAAAGAAAGTGCAAAGTGTGAGTTGACAGGAGGTGGAGGCCCTTTGTAACCTTCTGACAGAGAAGGCCCCCCTAGAAAGAACTCCCAAAACCTCTAGTTCCTGGACATCATCCCCTCCCAAGACACACAGAGCCCACTGAGAAAGACCTCCCATCCCTCCAGCTCCTGGGAAATACCCCCCTTTGAAGAGCCACATGGGCCCGCTGAGAAAGACTGCCCCCCATCTTTCTGGACACTGCCCCCTCTTCTATGAACTTTGGCATAGAGACAATCCCTTTCTCCTTTCCACTGTTGCCTCTCAACACTTGGCCTCTCAACTTCACTGGCTCATTGTAAGTCAACAAACAGATCTTAGTTCCACAAATAATGTCAATCCCTTTAGAGTGGCTAGTTAGATATTAAGGGACTTAGCGATCACAAAAGATGGACTTTTCTCTGCTAACTGCCACTTTATAATACAAACAAAAATAAAAAACAAAAATACAGGATTCTGATTGCTGGTCAAATGAATAGGGCTTCACTAATATCTCTGGCTTTGGGTAGAGATATAATAATGGTGAACTGTATATCAGTTGATAACTATCTACCCTACAATATCACTTTCTAACCCAGGACTTTCTGATACTGTCCTCTCCTTAGGAATCTATTTAAATAATCCTGTCAATCACCTGGACCCATTAGGAAAAGCTGCCTGTTTTAGGGGCTTTAGAACTAGCACACATCAAAACAAGGCATGGTGGCAAATGCCTATAATATTAACAATTGGGAAATGGAGGCAAGAGAATCAGACATTCAGGGATATCCATGGTACAAATCAAGCTCAAGCCCAACCTTCCTTGTCTACATGAAACCCTGCATTAAAAGAAAGGAAAGACATGAGGCAAAGAAAGAGGCAATAATATGAAGACTACTTAAAATGCAGACTAGCATAGTGGTCTCTGGCCATTCACTGAGAGTGCTGCGCCTTCTTCTGTAGCAAAGTCTTCAGTGGGCTTCAAGGATCTAACACGAATTCTCTCAACAATGACCAAAGGACTAGGGAGTCCAGAGAGAGAACCCAGTGATATGGCTGTACCATCCAATTCTTTCCATAAAGGACAAAATAGTCAATGTCTGTAGTTTTGTGGCCACATGGGTCATATATTCTTATCTGTTGGATTCTACAGCATCCACTTTTAGCTCAGAGTTTACAAAACCAGGCTTCAGTCCATACATTGGATATGAGAAGTAAGTTTATGTCGGTTGCTATGTGTTTTGTAAGTCAACCCAAGGCTTCCCATAAGCTAGAGAAGCCCCCTTACCACTGAGCTACGTGGAGCCGCATCCTAAATTTCAAACATAAGTATACAATTCTGCCAGAAACAGTGGACATGAAATTCTTATGCCTCTTCCCTTTTCTGTCTATAAAACATAACTAGTCTCAAAATGTGTCTTCAAAATGCAGCATGACAAAGCAAGCAAAAGTAGAACCTGTGCTCTCCACCCCTCTGGGTCATTAGGATAGTCGTTGATCTCCCAACACAGTTTTAAGTTAAATGAAAGATTTCTCCTCTACAGATCTGAAGTTTATCTGTCCCTAACTAGAATTAATACCTAGGAAACTGCGTCTCAAATCTCAAGTGGTTGATTACCAGCATATCCGTTGTGCACATAATGACTGCACATACAAAGAAGTTGAAAACAGCTCTCATAACTATAGTACTTCTGCAGAACTCAGACACTGTGTAACAATAGTGACAACAGACAGCCAGGGCACAAGACTTGGTGTATGAATGCACGTAGCAGAGTAAATGAGTATGTGCACAAAAGTCAC